TTTCTTGCTGAGAGTTAGACAAGAATATTGATACCACTCTCATATCTGTAGATTTAGCTGTCTCCACCTATTTCCATTCTTTGTGCTAAGCTAAGCTAACCAACTGCTGGCTGTAGCTTTATAATCAATTGTACAGATATGAGAGTGGTATCAATCTTCTCGTCTTATTTTTAAGACTGTGTGAACACCCCGACCTCCATACCCTAACCTTCTACCTCTTGACATACTGGACCCACCACTTCCTGCATTACTGCTCAACGGTGGTGCTGAGTCATCCCAAAAGCATGCACATACTGTAGACTTATAGACTCATTCATGAAAGAGTTACACCTCAGTAAACATATCACTCACGGTTTCTTAGTTTCTCTTCTTCCCCCTGGACAGACATACACGCTCTATAAAGGTTGGAGCAACAGATGTTATGAATATTTTAAGCTTTCACATCCTTGGGGTGGAGTTTATATATATTATCAAATTAAAGGAAAAACACTTGGAGAAGCATAATAAGTGCAAATTGTTCCGTTTTATCTTCCTATATTACTCTATAAAGAGGCTGAGCAGACCCTGATGACCTTGATTTTGGATCAAGATTGCAAGGAAGGAAACAGTGATGCTATCAACTCTGTGAGGCTGTGCTCAGGCTCAGCAGTGCTTTGAGCTAAATGCTAATGCTTATGTGTCACGTCATCTCAGTGTCCCTTGTATTTTGTTATACATGCTGTACGGGGAAAGTATGTCATAAATTGGAAGAAATAGGTGACAATTGTGACCCCGGGAGGAAACCAAAAATGCGAGAGTCTCCTGGGGAAATCTGGAGGGAAGGCAAATATGCACTTAAGTCACTCTAAATAACCTATCTGTACATGGAATTGCTGTTCATATGTGCCGATATTGATGATATATTTCGCTCCTTCTCACTATCCTTCTTTCCTGATTGTCTCTCCAGGGCGGCACATCTCCTGTCCAGGTACCGCCCTCGCTGTCCTATTATTGCCGTCACCAGAACCCCTCAGGTACAGTCTGCCTCTGTGTACCAGTTGTGCGTTTGTCTTCCCCGAACCACGACTTAATTGTTGATGACTCACACTTTTCAAAACTGAACAATGTGTGATATAGTCAGAATTTACTCTCACAGTCATTGTTGTTGTAAATAGTGACAGCGCTAAAGATGTCTCAGATTGGTCCCACTGACTGTATTTATGTGTGATATTTCACTGGAGTGTGTTTCTACAGAGCGTACAGTTATTTTAAAACGTGTTCAGAGCACAAAATGTGTCAAAACTGTTTTTAAAGTAGATCACGATTACCCTTGATTTTAAAGTCCTGTGGAGTTAATCCATATAAGATCCCCCTCCACATGCTATATGCTTCATATGGAGGTCAGAGGGGTCAGATTCAGAGAAGTACATCTGGACCTGGTGTGGACACATTCAGCTCAGTGGATGGCTGCTTCCATGGGGGGGTTGACCCTCTGACCCTGCTTATGACAACACACATCTCAGATCACAGGGGGGTCTGGAGAGGTTCAGTGAGAGCAATCTCTCTTTTTACAGGAGTGCCCTGTTGATATACAATTAATAAGTGTGATAAGAAGTAGTCGCATATTAAAATACAACAATAGTAAAAATAAATAAATAAAACAATAATGCAAATATATAAATAAATTAAAACATTCACATTAGAAATAAAACAAAAAATAATGGCTACAAGAGACAAATAAATGATAACAGAGACAAATAAATGATAACAGAGACAAAATTATCAACTCTAAGATTTGCATTCAATTGTTGGAAGCGTTTTTATTATATTGTTATATTTGCCCACTTTTGTCCACCTTAATCATATCCTTAGTGATATTTGTGGCTGGAGGCTTAATGTTTTCGGGTTGTCAGTCCGCCTCAAGGGAATTTCTTCCAACAGGATAAACTGATTAGATTTTAGTGGTGGTGTGGTCAAAGGTCAAAGCCACTGTGACCTCACAAAACACGTTTTAACTAAAGACATGACTTGACCCTGGATTGGCCCAATGGTCAAAGGTCTTTGTGACCTCAAATTAAGTTTTTAGCCATAATTTAAGACTGAAATGAGCAATTCTAGATTTCACACATGTTGACTCAGACGAAACGTAAACAATAACTTTCCTCAGTGCGTCTAATCCATTCTGCCTTTCACTCACTGACACAGTCTGAATTTAAAGCGTCATCAGAATCATGTGACTGCAGACAACATATTGAGCGCTAATGTTGATCAGTGAGTGAGTCAGTGAGTTTCACCTACAGCTCATAGAGACTTTGCCTCTAAAAATACCAGGAGAAAACAAAACCTATGTAACTAAACTCTATAAGAATTTAAATGTACACAGTTATCAAGTACATGTAGCTGTTTAGCCAGTACATCTATAATCCTTATATAATAATATAATATAATAATAATAATAATCATATAATCATAATAGTCCAAAAATGTATATTAACTGGATGTATCATCAATATAATGATATTTTTTCCAAAAAATATACTTGATACCTTTTTATTAAATTCCTTCACTACATATATTATATCAGTCTGGACAGACATGGATGCAAACTGCAACTTGACTGGGAGACATAAAACTGCAGGGCAAAGAAAAGTGTCCAAAATGTAAAGGATTATTCTTCTGGGGAGCATGAATGTGCATTTTAAATTACATGATGTGTATTTATTGTTTAGAAGTGGATGGTTTGGCTGCTGGTGGTGCTAGAGGAAAGGTCAGGGGCTCACCAAAAATATTGACATATTGAATATTGTCAGTGGATTTAAAGTAAGTCTGGCATTTTTAGATTTGTCAGTTAAATTGGCCTCAATGTGGCATTAGAACAATGTCCCAACCCGAGGGTCACAAGAAAACCTTATATACCTCTTATATAACGATATACCTCTGTTACACAAAATAGTTATATTTTTCTTTAAAATGTTCTCTCACTTTTTCTGTCTTTGTGAAATACTGGATACTTACACATCTATAAAACCCATTCAAATGAAACAATCTGAGATGAACAAATTTCACAAACAATCAGAAGAAGTACTCTTTACTGACGTAATTAGGTATTAAAACCACAGTATAGAAATACTTTGTTACAAGTGAAAGTCCTGCATTCAAAACTTTACTTACGTGAAAGTACAAAAGTAAAAACATGAATACATACATACCAAAAGTAGAGGTAATCATTATGCAGAATGACCCATTTCAGAATAACATTTTGTCTGTGTGCTCATTTAAGCGACTTTATGTTCTGCTTCTGAAATTCTGAAGTTTTAATTTTATCTATGATAAAACATAACCATTTATTTGTTGACTATAATTTGTATTAATAAGCAAAAAGTTCTTGAATAAATAAATGTAGTGGAGTAAAAAGTATAATATTTGCCTCTGAGATGTAGTGGAGTAAAAAGTATAAAGTACCTCAAACTTGTGCTGAAGTACACCTCTTAAAGTAAATCTACTTAGTTACTTTCCACCACAGCAAACAATTCATAGTTATTTAAAACCCTGAAGTCATCGCTGAGCAGCTTCTGTCTTCTCTGTCGTCTCCCTTAGGTGGCCCGTCAGTCTCAGCTGTTAAGAGGAGTGTTTCCTGTCCTCTTCTATCCTCTGCCTGCTCCCGTCTGGGCCGATGATGTAGACAACAGGGTCAACTTCGGCATGGATATAGGTCAGTGTGTGTGAGCTGTGTGTGTCTGTATGTATCCCTCCATTAGCCTGCTTATTTGTATGCTATGATACTGTCTTACTCACACACCCTCCTGTGTTTCTTTCCGTCCGCCTCCACAGGGAAAGCGAGAGGATTCTTCAAGTCGGGCGACATGGTGATTGTGGTGACAGGCTGGATCCCAGGGTCCGGTCACACTAACATTATGAGGGCAGTCAGTGTCCCCTGACAACCTGACCTTACTCGACTCTATATCTGACTGATGTGCAGCCTCTACGACGTAGAAATGTGATTGGAAAAACCTGAGAAACACCGCTTTAAATAAAAGAATAAACACTGTCACTAATAGAGTAATTGGCAGTATCATCATTGTTATCGAAACTTAAGGAAACACCTGCCACCAGAACTGCTCTGACAAATGCTGAATTTGTTTGTGTCTTGAAAGCGATGACTCCCTCCAAATAAAACTTGAATAATTAACTTTAAGCTTCTCTAATTGAGCCGTCGAGCCTCTTATTTTCATCTGTTATTTGTGGGAGTAATATTGAATTGAATATGAATATTGTCTCTTTGTCTGCTATTGTTGAGGAGTATCATTATTGGTAGCCTTCATAGAATCCGGAGATAAGGTTTTTATTCCTGTCCATAGTCCTGAGCTTATCTCTGTGACGATGCAATTCGTTTGGCTATTATAAGCAGTGCCGGGAGATGCGAGATGACGGGTATTGAACTACAGTCTTTTGTCCACTGAGATGACCCAGATGCCGACATCTGCCCACTGTTCTCTCATAAACTAATTATATCTGTTCCTGTGTGGGGCTTTCTTATGTCTGATTATCCTTTATGTGACGTCCTCATCTTTCTCCTGCAGACTTTCTCCTACCTCCCTTACATTACCTTTTCTCGTTCTGTCCATAATACCCACATAGTGAGCTTATTGAGCATGTTGGTCACTGGTGTTTAAAACAATTTATCTTTCCAAACGCACAGAGACGACCAATTTAAAGCACTTAGAGAATTAAGATCCTTAATTTGCTTAAGTAAAAGTAACAATGGCACACTGAAAATACTCTGTTACAAGTAAAAGTCCTTCTTTCAAAACCTGACTTTACAGTTAAGGTAAAAGTATATAAATATTATCAGCAAAATGTACTTATCAAAAGTAAAAGTAGCCATTATCTGGTCCCAGTCAGTGTTTTACTATTACTAATATTATATATAATGTCTTTTGATCAATATTACTGCTTAATGTGTATGTTGCATTGTGCTTCTTCATCTACAGCAATGCAAAATATTCTATAAAATCAATGTATGTTTGTAGTGTTGCTGTCCTGTGAGAACCACGTCACTCTAAAACTTTAGACTTTTTTGTTTTCTCAGCTTTGTGACAATGCATTTTCCCGGTAATCCAAAGATATATATATATATATATCTATATATTTATTAGGAGTATTCTCTCAACCCATAAAGAAACACTTAATCCTTCAGTTTATCTGACGTACATAGTTTTTACTAGACAAGAAGGGCGTGTAAATAGTAATCTGCAAAGAAATATTCACTACTTGAGTAATACTTAGTTACTTTCCATGACTGTTATTTTATTCATTTTCAGCTCTCAACAGGTGACACATTACTAATTATGTATTTACAGAAAACTAGCCTGACAATTGTTGTCTTTGTAAAATAATTATTATTTATCAGCTCAGGGTAACATAAAATGATCACTTATGAACCAGACATTTTTCTCTGTGACTTGTCACCGTTGTTACATGGACTCGCTCTTTTCCCGAGATTTTTTTTCCCGAGGTTTCATCATCACTCTCTCCATCACGCGCTCCCTCGCTGTATTGGTGAGAGACGATGACGCGCGACCTGTACCTGGGAGGGATTGCGTGCGTCTTGCGCCGACCGGGCATGCGGCCTTGGGGGACAGATGATGGGGATGCGGATGCCATGGCAACAGGCCGATTAGATCCAGACCTTTATATACACATTTATTTATTTAATATTTCATTTGCATGCGCTGCGCGCTACCGTGGACGTGCCGGCTCGACCTCTGAGTGTTGAGTCAGAGTGAGAAGTGATTTTTCAGCTTTCAACTGGACTCAATCGGCTCTGAGCTGTATATGAATGAGCAGCCGCCTTTAACGCTCAACAAGTTGTTTTATTTTTAAGGAGGCTTTTGAATCCATCTGAGCGCACCGTTTCACCTTGGAGGAGCGTATTCTTTGAAATATAGAGCCTGTTCGGAGAGGGGAGAGGACACCGCCGTATCCCTGTAGTCTGGACACAATGTCATTGAAAGTCGGCAGAAGTGGAACTAGATAGCAGCGGCTGCTGATGAGAGAACACACGATTTCGGGCGTCAGACTCTGAACACCTGACCAACTTAATCCCGACATCAGTTTTACAAACCAGCCCTGTTGTAGAGTCGGTTTTCTCTCCTCTGGCTGTCTGAGCGCTTGAGTCACGGGCAGGCAACATTTCATCATGATGAGCGCTTTACCCGCTCGGATACTGACAATGACAACGTACCGCCGATTACAGGAATAAATGGGCTAGATTTGAGGTAAATTGCCTTGTTTCTGCCGTCTTGTGTGTCCCTGTCGTTGTGTCTTTTTTGTGTGCGTGTTTCTGGTGCGAGTCAGAAGGATTCAGTGCGCCGCGGAGTGTGAGCGCCTGTGTGTGCCTATTATGTGCGTCCCTTATGTCCATTAACAACCAATCCCTCCTGACAGAGGATCAACTGTCCTTGTCATTCATCCGCGGATGAATGTTCCCCACCTTACCGCTCCAGTCATCTCGTATATAATGATATATGCAGGAAATAGCCAAACTGGGTGAGCAGCCTGGACATATAGGCTTCACAGACAAGACACCGACGGCCAATGAGTGGCGAGCTCCGTTATTTACAAAAGACTGGGAATCCGGTGCCAACATGACCGGCGTCGGAGCTTTGAGAGCGGCTGTGGAGAGGAGAGGGAGGGCCTCGGGGGGAGAGCGACGTTTCAAGGACGAGGAAGGAGGAATGATACAGAAACATCTGTAAGGACAAAAGAGACTCTTTAAGACAAGAGGAAAAGTGAAGCTGCTGGCGTCACACCGGCAGGCTGAGAGATTTAATGTCTGGATGGGGCTTTTTCCAAGGGCACTGAGGTAAGCATGGCCACATCGGCGGAGAGAGGGCGGAGGTGTGAGCTGTCGGCTCCAGGAGAATGACTAGAGATATAGACCACTTTTCTTTAGCTTCTTCAATTTAACATTCAGACTGACATTGACAGTCTCACCTATGTACTCCAGACAGGTCAACCACACTAAACAATAGTTTTCTTGAGGAGGTGGGAGTTACAGGTTATATTCACCCTCCCCTCACCCTCCTCCTCCCTGAGCTGGGATGGATGGAGTGGCTGGAGGTGTGGGTACCCCCAGCAGCGGCGGGGGGTCTGGGGGCGATAGCCTCCCCAGACGTAACGGAGGGGACTCGAAGAGGCGCAGTAAGGGCAGCCTGCCCTCCCCGGGCTACAGGCTGTCCCAGGCCTCACTAGAAGGGGAAAGGGGCTCCTTCGGGGGAGATAGCACTTCCTTAAGTGGACGCGGCCGTCGCCTCTCCATCATGAGCTCCTCCACCAGAGACGGCCTTCCCTTCCGCACAGCAGGCACCCCAACCACCCCGGTGCCCCTGCCACCTCCACCACCCGCCTCCTCTGCCACAGCCCATCCTCCACCACGCTCAGTGGGCTTTGCCTCGTCCAGAGCCGCCCTAGCCTCCACCTCCTCCACTGGGACTGGAGTGATGGTGGTGGCCACCGGCCTAGAGACCACCACCACCACGACCTGCAACACCACTGCAGCAGGGAGCCCTGATATGATGGGTCAGATCGGATTGGGTGGCTTTGGCATGGGGCTGGACGGAGAGGACTACAGCACCTCCAACCAGAGCACCTTCATCCAGAGACAGTTTGGAGCCATGCTTCAGCCGGGGGTCAACAAGTTCAGCTTGCGCATGTTTGGATCCCACAAAGCTGTGGCACTGGAGCAGGAAAGACTGAAATCAGCAGGGGCGTGGATCATACATCCCTACAGTGACTTCAGGTATGCAGTCATACTTATACACACAACTAGCCTCCACAGCATGCATCTAGTTACACTGATGTTGGCTTGCAAGATAAATGTCACTTGTAGCACATAAAAATAATGTTCTTTCAGTAGAAATAAGGATCAAAGCAAGCTGGAATTGTACTCACTTTAGGGAGCATACTTGAAGCATAATAATGGAGACTTAAGTAAAGAGAGGAACAGGGAAAAAGAAACAGATCATACATTCAGCAGCCGCTTCAGTTGTTAACAGGGAGAAAGAGGAGGACAACTGGGAGGAGAGACACATGCAAGAGGCTAAATATATATATCTGGGGACACAACAGAAGTGTATAGGAAGTGATGTGAGGGTTAGAGTGGATTCAATGGGAGTCTCTGGAGGAAACAGAGGATGTATAAAAGGTTGAAAGACAGAAAGATAAAAGGGGAGTGGATGAAAAGTCTCTGGAGGCCTGATGAAGCCAGAGGGAGATGTGTTTATGGAAAGGGCAGTGTGTAGGTGACAAGGACTCCAGGATAGACACCATGCAGTGATAGCAGGTGTCCATTTGTAAAACAATGAGAGGATAAATACTAGACTCATTGTAACCTGCTGTTTGCATAAGAAATAGTTTTCACAATTAGAGGGAGACAGAGGTGAACAAATAAAAATTAGGAGGATAAATTTAGCAAAGAGGCGTTCAGATGCCAATCAGGGAGCAGCGAGAGATGCTTACCATGTCAATTAGGTAAAATGTTAAGTATGTGAACAGTGGATGAACCCGGCACAGCCCTGTTGGTGACTCCATGCAAGGATTTATTAGAATCATTACGTTTTGAGGCTGTTCATGTTTGGTTTTCCTTGAATGAAAGTCTCCTCGTGAACATGAGGACGAACAGAGTAAACGTTCCACTGGTTTCCGTTTTTTTGAATGGAGGTGAGTACGGGAGGGGAAATTTTGTGAATGTCTGCCCTCGTGCCTTAAACACACGGCCAAATTGCATGCACCCTCACATAATTCTTTTAATATGTCATATTATTTACAGACTGACAAATCATTTGATGTGCTGGTCATTGGTTTGTTAGAGGCTTTGCATAAACACACTCCTAAAAATGTGCAGGTGGACAGAAGAGGGAGGGACCGCATCCGTAATCTCCAGACAGACTGCAGCAACAATGGATGACTTGATCCCCAAGGCTCCTGGCCCACTTTTGTCTCATCACCCACACACACACACACAC